AATTTCAGGTTGTTAATCCGATCTTTTTAACGATTGCCAAATACATCATCCATCAGCATGAACATCTTCTGCTGGATGATTGTTCATTCGAAACCAAAGTTATCTATCAAATCTTAAGACTTCGCACCTTTTTCCATCATCAAAGGTCATTGTCTTCTTTTTCGCCAAAACTTCGAGAGCAAATATTGTCCGTTTGCAATTCATTAACAGATTCGATTACCTCATCGACCTCTTTGGGCGCGTTCGAAATTATTTTGATCCTTTTTGAAATCATCTCTGCACTTCTTTATTACAGGTTAGAAAGCTTGTCAAGAAACGCTTTGGATTTGGTTTCCAAATACTCGGGCATTTCTGTTTCGTGGACAGGCGTTTCTGGGCGTCGTCTGATCCATCAAAAGGAAAAGATTTCGCTTTTGTCTATCATTATTTCTAAAGAACGCCAACAAGGCAATGTGTTGCCAATGCTTTACGAAAATGAAAATCAAAACATCCCAAAAGTTATACCCCTATCTGCAATTGGCGATCAAGACAAATATTTGGAGCTCGATGACATTGATGAACTTGATGCGGTTCACAGCCGCCAATCCTATTTTGATGTGTTCATTGAAAATGCATTTCTTTTATCTAATTTTTATTTGCTGCTGATAAGCGTACCCGATTCCCCGATAAGAAATGAGCAATTGTCAACCCTGGCAAATTCGATCATTACAAATTCGGTAAAAAGCGAATCCTCAAAGTCGACGATAAATTGGTCTGTTTTTTCGACTGCCCTATCTGTAAGGTCCGTTTGGGTTGAAAACAAAGGCCTCAAAGCCGTTCGATCGTGTCTACAGCTTGAAGCATTGATTTCCCAAATTTCCAGCCCTTTACAAGAGGATGAGAGTGTATCACAAAGGCTGTGCCTTTGTTGGTGCATCCCTGGGCTGTTTTCCGCTGTTGATTTGAAACGATCTTATGGTCGGCTACTTGCCCAGCTTGGTGCCCCATTATCAGCTTATGAAGTTTATTACAAGTTAGGAGATATGCCCTTGGCAATAAAAGCCCTCGTTTCTGCATCACAATATGATCAAGCAATCTCTTCATTGCTGGACCTTTTAAAAAAAGATATTTCTCTTTCAAATCGACTTCCGCTCCTGTGCTTATTGGGAGACCTGAAGGATGGAGACGTTTCGCTTTACGAAGAAGCTTGGGAGTTGTCCAACCACAGGTATGCTGCCGCTAAAAGATCTCTTGGGTTCACATACCAGAAAAAAGGCCATTTTCATCTTGCCATCGATGCGTTCAAGATTTCTCTCAAAATTAGTCCGCTCTTTGCATCGGTTTGGTTTTACCTCGGATGCTGCTATATCAAAGTCAATGACTATGATGGGGCTCTTATGGCTTTCCGCCGC